CAAAGAAACTGCATCTTCCAAGAAGTTCAGTTAGTGGGACAAATATTTGGTTATTCTCATTATTACACCGTATGATTGTTTTGTTTGTGACTATGAACGTAATACCTTCAAAAGCAGCTCTTCAGAAAAAAACTAAAATGGTATTTTTGGCTAAACACAGATAAGATTGGTAAGGATTTCTAAAAAGGCAATTCTATTATGTGAATTTCTTCTAGATCCTTGAGGTCTTGAGGGTTTTTTATCGTAAGATAAATTTGCATCACCTTGTAGATATTCAGACAACCACTCCAATATGTAGTTTAAACAATGTTAAAATTTAATATGCTGGAGGGACTCTGGCTATTCTAAAGAAGCTGTAAATACTTCAGGTAATTGAATATAAAATCTCCAAATGTGACTTAACTTGCTTTAAAACATAAAGAAGAAGTTTTCCATTACAGGAAAAGTCGACCTCAACTTAATTTCCTTTTACTGGAATCCAATGCCATATGTGTGTTGTGATTCCAACCAGGTGTTTCATTATACCAAAGTGCTGTAAAAGAGTACTTCTATCTGCTAGGCGTATTAGATCTTTCTCAAAGACATTCATGCAAACGTGCTCTTCAAACTAGCTGTCAAATACCTCACATAATAAACTGAAGATTCCATAATATTTCTACTTTAAGGACTCCTCTGGAAGTTAAGTGTAATGATGAAATGCTTATTCAAACTTGTGCTCGCTATTTTAGCAATTAGATTTAGGGACAAGAGGTTGGGCAGCGGTGAGACTCATAGAGGAGCTGGTGTGTTTTAATGAGCCCATATTACTAATATGGTTCTGCATGTAAAACTGAGCCTGACTTACAAATCTAGAAATAGTTGTTTTATGAGATTGCACACCTTTTGTCCCTTAAACTAAGAATCTTTGGCTAGTTAGAAGTGACTGTACTGAACTATAGTCATTTGCTGCTATAATTGCTTACAGCTTTCATTTCATTTCATTGCTTACATTTCATTGTGATGTTTGTCATCTTAAAGGTTAGAGCAACAAGAAATATTTTGAGTGACAGTGCCACATGCACCTAAAGGTAGAGTGACTTTTGCTTAATAAAACCAAGGGTGGGTTTTAGCTTTGCAGTAATGATAGTGAGGTTAATGAAAATGTTGCTCATCTAGAAGAAGTGACTGAGCATTGCACTAAGCAGATGGTTGCAGAACTTTCCAGCCCCCAGCAGTTAGATGACAGGATCTGCATAAGAAAATAAGGCCACAGTGGGACACAAATATGAATATTGTATTTGTATTTTGTGTTACGGCTTGGATCTCAGTTGCATTAGATTTTTCTTTTGTGTGAAAGTCTATCAAGCCAAAAAAGGGGCAGGATGGGCAGCAGGCTGAAAGGAATGTCAAATTTTTCACAGTAGGAAGCTTATGAAGTGGTGTAGCAACTAAGAAATAAGGGGACACTCATCTGTTTCCACCCCTAGAGCTCCTCTGGAGAAGCTGTGTTGGCTGAGAGGAAAGAATCAGTGTGAAAAACCCTATTATGGAAAATTCTGTAGCATGTAGCCAGTCAGCTGATGAAGATTTTTTTTCACATGGACAATGTGGCTTTCTCTAGCAACGGGAGTATTTTAATTGATAAAACTAGATCTTTATCAATTCTAAATACAGCATGACAACTGTATTTGAAGTCAGAAGGCTAGTTATCTACTGAGCTGATCAAATCTTCAGTGGGTCAAAGCAGTTATGCGATGAATGCCTTACTGGCCTTCCTATCTAGATTATCGCTGCTGCTAACTTCTTGGTCATGTTCAAACACAGCTTTTTTTCTAGTCCTATTCTGGGCTAACTGGAGGAATCTCCCAAGTTTCTGAATAAAAGCTTGGATGCTTGATCAACAGTTTGTAGTAGGGGAGAGTCTTTTATGCTGTATATATTTATTAAATATAAATATATTTCATGTATGTCTAGCTTGTGTGCCAGGCATGATGTTTGCTTGAAGTATCAGGCTTGTGTGTATTTGCATACCCACAGGTAAGTCCCCCTCAGTTTTTAGGAAGGCAGTAGGAGCTTGTAATGAGTTACATGAATTACCATGTTGCACAGTCTCCCTTTGTAGCCATTGTCATTCCTGAAGGCATCAAACTTGAGAATGAGTGGCAGCATGATATTATTTCCTGTCTCTTTTTCTTGAATACACGTGGATTTACCTGTATGTAGGCTCTCATGTGAGAGGAAGGGGCTTTATAGCACCCGAGACCAAGTTGTGTGAAAGATTAATTGTCTTGTAAGGTTGCAGATGGAACCACAGTATGTACCTGAGCATTACTTAAGCAGATTCTTGACCTGTTGAGGGTAGAGATGGCCTCTAAGTGCCCTGTGGTATACTGGAGTTTTATGAACAATTAAATGGAAGAATGTCTGTATTGTTGAGTTTAAGGAATAATGATATTTATAACTCTAGGCTTATGGCAAGAAGGTTGGTACAGTTACTTTCTCAAAGTCTATGTGAAGAGAAAACTAAGTTACATCATTATATTGAGCACGGGAGGTGACTCTTGCATGGTTTCCCTAGAGTGTAGATGATACAAAGTTGGAAGGTGTTTGACGCTGTGGAGGGCTGTGCTGCCATTCAGAGGGACCTCCACAGACTGGAGAAAAAGGTTGATAGGAATCTCATGAAGTTCAACAAAGGGAAATGTGAAGTCCTGCTCCTGGAGAGGAATGCTCTCCTACAGGCTGGGGACTGACTGGCTGGCTGTAAAGTGGCTGTGCAGGAAAGGACAAGAGGTCCTGGTGGACACTGAGTTGAACGTGAGCTAGCAATGTGTCCTTGTGGCAAAGAAAGTCAGCACTGTGCTGGGCTGCATTAGGAAGAATGCTACCAGCAGGTTCAGGGAGGTGGTTTTCCCCTTGATAAGGCTCTTGAGGAAACCATGTCTGGAATGCTGTGTCTGGTTCTGGGTTCTCTAGTAGAAAGAAGATGCATGGACTTAATGAAGTGGGTCTGGAAAAGGGCTATGAAGACCATTGAGGGTTTGGAGCATCTTTCATATGAGGAGAGGCTGAGAGAGCTGCGATTATGTAGCCTTGGGAAGCAAAGGCTCAGAGAATCTTGTTGTGAAGTATGTAAATACCTAGTGGGAGGGAGCAAAGAAGATGGAGCCAGACAGTTCTCAGTGGTGTCTGCTGAAATAACAAGAAGCAATGAGCACAAACTGAAATACAGGGAATTCCCTTTAAACATAAGAAAACATGTTTTACTGTAAGGGTGACTGAACATTAGAACAGGTTGCCCAGAGAGCTGTGAAGTCTCCATACTTGAAGGTAATCAAAACCCAGCTGGACATGGTCCTGAGCTGCCTGGTCTAGCTTGCTTTGACCCAGGGGTTGGAACTAGATAATCTCCAGAAGTATCTTCCAACCTCAGCAATTCTGTTGTTCGATGACTGAGAAATCGGGTGCCATTTTCCCTACTGTGTTATAGTAAAATTATAGTTCTGTGTAGTATGAAAGAGCAAGTTTCCTGAGGATACCATTTGACTTCCCTTCCAAGTGACCTGTGTAAGGGTACTGGGCGTGCTGTTCCTTCCAGGACCATATTTCAGATTCTAGATGGGGATATGCTGCCTAACTTCTGCCTTCGTCTAGTAACTTAGGCACTGTATTTTTTTAATACTTCCTCTTAAAAATACCAGATGTTGGAAGGGGAAGTATACACTGTCCAACTTACAGGAAATGTATGGCAGTGATTATCCTGTTATTTATGAGGCCCTTGCAACACATCCTCATACGGCTGGACAGTGGGACTTACGCACTGTACCAAAGTCTGCTCTGGTGAACACAGTAAATGTTGGCAGCCTTGATTCTAAAGCAAGACTCCAATGTGATGCGAAGCTGATTCTCCAGTGTGGGTTGTGATCTTTAGTATCTTGTAACTTCTACATTTTTACTAAGAAGACGAGGGGGGATTTTCTTTGGAAAACTTGATTTGGCTAAGTTTTATTGTGTGTTCCTATTAAGTTTTCCTGGATGCTGAATGTATCTTCTATTCTGACTTCATTTTTCTGCCCTAGAAAGTCCAAGCATGTTAGTCTCTTTAAGATATTCTAAAATCTATGATCTTAGTTTAAAGTTACTCCAGCAGAAGAATCCTAGCACTGGTGACTTATTAATGTATTTCCGCTGCTTCTGAATTGCTGGTCTTGTGCTATTTGCTACAATTTTGGTTAGTATATTTTAGGCTTTTGTGCCAATTTGATGTGTTGCTAATCCTAGAACTTGCAAAGATAGCCTTGAGAAGTTGTGAAGGCTGCGGGGAAACTCCTCAACTCATGCAGGTTCTTGGGGGAGAGCCCCCATAGCTGCTTGTCTTCTGTACGACATGCAGGACAATGTCAATGCCTGTCGATCTTTGACAAACAGATTCTAGCAGCTGTCACTCAAAGTGGCACGTCAATCTGCTTTCACTAAAGTGTTGGATGTTGCGCAGTGGCATCAATGTCTTTGCTGACTAGGGGAAGGGGTTCTTAAATTCGCAGAAGTAAGTCCCAGAAGACTCTTTGCTTTGACAAGAATCAATACCTGTTCTACATACTCAAGCAATTAGTATTACAGTGTCTTCGGCACCTCCCCGTGCTGTCTGTTCTTAAACGGTTGTTCTATTAAGCTCTTCCAGAACAGAGCACGCACTGACATGGATATATTACGCTGGAGGACTGTAGGTAGGTAAACAGATTCCAGCAGAAAGCATGCATCTTTCAAGGATTTTTATGTAGCTTTATGTACCGCTTGGGACATCGGGAGTATTTGCTTTGTAAAAGGTCCTTAACGTGAATGCTGAATGCTCCTTTTAATTTCTTCTGCTCGGTCCTGTGCGGTAAGGAGGGCACAGATGGGAGTTCAGCTGGGCTCTAGGTGGCTTGATTTGCTATTGCGGCATTCCTCGGTGCTGGTGGGAGAGAGAGAGAGACTGATGACTCATCAAGTCAGGTGGTTATGCCTCTGCTGTGTGTCAGAAATTTCTTTCCCCTCTGCAGCAGGCTTTCTCATCCCTCTGTGTAGGGGCACGAGAAGGACAGTTATTTTGTAAGCGGCGGTGCTTAACTGCTGAATTCTGGCTTTGCTTCAGTGGGCCTGTGGATTTTTGTTCCTCCCTGTTTCTGCAAAATAAGGTAAGAATCTGTGTTTATATGATAGAATGGCCAGGGATTTTCTTCCTTGATGTAAGAAAGATCTTTCTAAAAATCTAACTGGAGTCTTAATTTTGAAGAGATCTTTGTGGTAAGGCAGTTCATCATGTAAATTCTGGGACTGATCAAATGTTTGAAGCAAAAACAAGGAACTGTAATAGAAAACAGGTTTCTCTGGCATTGAGAGCAGGACAGTTACATTTTTGGGGTTACTCTGTAGCCATACTGCTGTGCTGGGGAGAAACCAAGATAGAAAACTCAGTTCATTGGCCCTTTCTTGTTTAATTCATTAAAATTGCTTTAATAAATCACCTTTCAGTTAGAGATGATTCTGCAGCAAGTAATGTTTTGATTTCCGGCACTGTTAGTCAGAATATGACCATGTTAGAGCTTAAAAACATGGTTAAAATCAATTGTTGAACCCTTTAAGATGAAGAAGATTCCTGATTTTAAGTTGTAAAGGATATAAGATGCATCTTTGCTCATAAGGGGAATTAAAATTAACCTAATACCCTATGTAGGTGTGCTAGTAAGCTTTGTAGGAGTGGATTGTATGTAGTGCCTAATAACCTGTGTTGGTGAGAGGCCTATGAAAGGCTGCAGGAACTCAGTAAAATGGCTAGCTACCATGGCTTCTTGGGTAAGTACATACTGTCTACACACACATGATGTTATGTTTAGCAAATTCTGATGTGCTTTAAGGAATTTAATTTTACCTGAGTACTAACAGTAAAGACATTTAACAGTGTAGGTAGGTAAAGCAACATTTCTGCCCTCAAGGACTTTTCCATCTGAAATGAAAATCTGCAATGGTAATAAAAAAGCACAAGAAAACTATGCAGAGACAAGTAACAGCTTTATTTATTTATTTATTTTGTATTCAGTATTAAAAGATGTGTAGCCCCTTAAAAAGGAGGTCAGCTTGGCTGGGTGAGCACTGGGTTTTAAACTGTGCACTTTGTTTGGAGGTATAGGAGATGGCACAAAGAAAGGTGAGGAGGAGTTCACCGCTTCTTTTACGCTTGGAATAGTTAATAGGTATATGTTTAAAAGCAGTTGGTGCAAATGCTAAAGATCAGGACAGACGGGGTTTATTGGCATGTTGCTAGATGGTCTAGCAGAGGAATCCTATTCTCTTTTAGTTCTCTTGGCCAGTAATTTGGGATGGTGGCTGTAGGAAGAGAGAGGGAGCAGAGCAGCCACAGGAACAAGAGAGGAAGGTGCTGGGTGCTATCAAGAGGGCACTTAAACTGTGAAATGACTGTTCTGAGGTTCTTATTTGCATCCCTAAATGATAAGCAGTCGCTTCAAGTGGTGGTCAGCTGGCCTGCAGGTTTTGGATATGAGGAAAAGTTAATTTAAATTGAAACTGGCCAGTGTTCTTCCTGTTTTTCCTTGCCTTTGTAAACTGACTTTCGTATGGGATCCTGTAGTGTCTAATTGCCAAACAGCATCACTAGTTTGGTTATGAGAATTTGGTTTAGCTCTTTCTTTATTGTTCTTCTACAGAAGATTTTGTCAGTAGGACTCTAGAGATTGTTCTTTATCATGGTACGTTGAAGTAAATGTCTTGGGTGGATTTATTAGACCAGCTGCTTTTTTTTCAGTATGAAGAGTAATTGTGCTTGAGTTTTGCAATGTTTTTAATTGTTAAAAGCAAAAAAGATGAGGTAGTTTGGTTAGTCTGATCAGAACCAGCTCTTACCAGCTGCTAGGGAACTGCAGATTGCTTTGTGAGGGCCTCCCCTCTGCCATTTGTCAGAGAAGACTTTTGCAGTGAAGCAGTGAAATTAAAATTGTCTTCTGGGCCTAAACAGCAGGCAGCTTAAAGGATAAAACTATCATTATGGAGAGCAGAGGGATCTAACGAATATCTGACTTAGCCTTTGAGCTTGAGAACAGCTAGCAGTTCCACTCCAGGCTGGTGGTGACTGAGTCATGATCAACTGTTGGGGTGGCTGTTGTGAAATGAATCAATGGTAGCCATGTTACACAATCCACTCCAGTGAGATGCAGAGTCTACAAAAAGCTATTCCTTCAGGATGAATAGGAGTTTGGAATAATTGGAGATCCTTTTCTTACAGAGCAGAGCCACTGATTTAAAACATTTAAATAGGTAAAGAGGCTGAGGGGCAGAGGATTTGTGTTAAAAAATGCAGCATTGAAACGCTGGAAAACAGTCACAAGATTTTAAGAACAGCAGATGTCAGCTACCTACTGCTCCTGAAGAACAGGCAGAAAAGCATCCTTTAATGGTGCTAAAAAACGTGGCAATGTAGTTGTCTTCCTCATTGTACACAGGGCAGGTTTTCAAGCCTGAGTATGTCTCTGTATTTGAGGCCTTGTAGAAGATGCCAGGTTCTCTTAGGCTTTTTGGAAAGATTGTGAGTGTCAACAGATGCCTCACATGGTTCACATCACCAAACTGTGGGCTTTTGCTGGATAGGCCCTGTTGATAGGCAGAGAGCTGCCATACCGCACCTTTCATCAGTGCTGTATTGTACGTGTGTCAATACAGTAGAAATGGGTAGAGAGGTGCCTTACAGTTCTCTAACACTAATCAGTTTCCAAGGTAACGCAAAGCATGGTAAGGGCTGACAAAGCAAACCATTATATACTCTTATCGGCACCAGGAGCAGGACGGCCCAACTGCCGATAACAGGACAAACGGGGATTGAAGAGGTCTGTTTCTAAAACAGCTTTTCTTCTGCCAGTTGTTTAGATTCTCTAAACAGTTACTGGCAAGAGGTGTTGGTGTGTAACTGTTGCAAGTTCAGGTTTTTGGCCATTATTTAGCACAATTCTTCTGTAGTGCTACATGGGTTTCACTGAGAGCAATAATACCTAACTGTGAGGCATGTAGAGAGGACTCGCATGCTTGTGTGCTGGTGCCTGTGAAAATGTATGTTTCTTTCTCTGAACGCTCTGATTCAGCAGCTTGAGATAGCAAAAAATAGAATTTCTACAATTAATATTTGTAATATTGCTTTTTAGAGACTGGTGGCAGTACAGCAGCCCCAGAACATTCTCTTACTCTGTCCGCACATAATAGCCTGGAAGTCACTCAGAGTCATGGCAAACTCCATCTTTTGAAGGAGGATGAATGAGACACAGAAGATAGAAAAGATTCTCCATTGTTTAAATATCCTGCTATTGGGCTTGAAAATAGTCCAGCATTTTTTGAGTGCAACTGTTTCACTCTGCGGTGTTTTGTGAAGCGTATTATGGAGTGATGTTCCACTCCTGTGTTTCTGCAACAGGGGATGTTAGTTCTTTTGTTTGTTTAAATGAGTTACTTTTTAACTTTTTATAGCTTTAAAATCAGTGTGGTTAAGATGCTTCAGGCTATATGAGTTCAGAATTCTTCAGTTCAGAATTTTTTCTAACTGGAAGCAAGGAAAAAGCAGAGGGGATGAAGAGGAGGAACTTATTATATGTGTGTATTCTTCAGAACTGACTCTTTTCTTTTTTTCCTTTTGTACAGTTGAGCAGGCAAAATGGACTTTTCCAAGCTACCCAAAATCCGTGATGAGGACAGAGAGGCTTTTGTTGGCTATGTCCATGGAGTCTCGGGACCTGGTAGGTATTATTTTGTAAAGGAAATCATAGCTTCTGTTTCATCTGGTGCCTTGCTAATCTTGTTCACTTGGAAGTGGAGAAGTGTAGTAGAACTCTAGGTGGGGCCTTTTCTCTTTCTTTTTTTTTTGGGGGGGTGTGTGTGTGTGTGTGCGCTTTTCATGAAGGATCACTGACGTATAGTCTGATAAAATATTAAGAAATATACTAATAAGATGTTACTGCTAATTAATCTTATTTAAAGATGTAATGTGCAGAAGCAGACTGATTAATAATAATAACAAATTGTAGGAAGCTTTCTGGATGAGATAAAGCCACTTGGTCAGAAATCTGCAGGCCCAGTGTGTTAAGCTTCTGAAATGCAGTTTGACCCTGTGCTCTCTGGAGTACTCAGTCCCCTGCCAGTGTCAAGCTGTTCTGTGTTTTTCTACCACAAGCTGGAGGAGCTCCACAAGGAGCTGCAAGGGGTCAGGAAAGGTGGCAGAGTGTGGCAGTTGTGCAAGTGGGAGAAGGAGGTCTCTTCCTCCTCCTTTATCAGCTTAAATAGTTTCTTTAGGCTCTGATGGTAACAGCTTTTGAATGCATACAGACTCTAGTGGCTTTTCTGCATCCTCTGCATTCTCTTCAACAGGTGAAGAAAAGCAGGGGAATATGAGAACAGAAGAATAGCATATATATTTATTAATGCAGCTTATTTGATTAATTCAAATTTGTCAAATAAGAAACTCCCTTGGCTCAAGTCTACCTAAATAAATACCTGTTTTTTAACTGCCAATTCCTTAACTACAGAAGTGATATGTAAAACCAATTTTAAACAGTTACAGTTCTTTCCTAAGAAGCGGAAAATGGACTTTTGTGTAAACATGAACCCTGTGTGCAAGATTGATATTATAATAGACATAATAAATTTTATTCTAAAGCAGCTAGGCCTCACATATGACCCACTGAAATCTAACTGAAAACAGTAGGAGGCTTCAGGCCCAAAAATTGTTGCAAAACAGTCTTCATCTGTTGAAAGTGAATTTAGGTGCCCCTAAGATATACATCACTTTCCTACAAAACAAAATATTAAAATAGTGTTTCCTTAAAAGCTTTGTGGGCATCTGCCACTCTAGATACAAGGATATATCTTGCCCTTAGCAGGTGTCTTGGCTTGGTCTTTACATGGGGATAGTTTGTTATGTGAGCATCCAGATGCTACCAAGGTAAACAGAAGTTTGAGTGACTCAAGGATGCTGGTCCTCAACCACAGGTTTATGTAACTACCACGTATTAGGTGACCTTGTGCCATTTGTCTTGTATGTTTCAATTTAATCAGAGGGTAATGTGGCCCTGCTAACTGAAAGGGAGAAGTGCCTGTCAAAGTTCACTACTTCTCTAAAACCCTAAACATTTGCCATCTGTCAAGACAGATAAGACAAATTATGGCGTGAATTGTCTGTGAACTACTACATTCTGATAGTGTCCTCTTATTGAATGTAAAGGAACAGTGTGAAAAGTACAGGGAAACTTTTTCTTTCGGCTGTTAAACTAGAAATGTCAGAGTGTGAAAAGTACAGGGAAACTTTTTCTTTTGGCTGTTAAACTAGAAATTTGTGCAGTCAAGGTATCCCTTTGGTGAAATCAAGAAGGTGCTTCTGATTTGGGTGAATACCAGGCTTATGCTGTGCAGATCTTACTAACTTCTGATGAGTAAATTCCCTGAGATACAGAAAAAATATTAGTCTATGTGCCTGTCTTTTTACAGTGGTCACGGCGTGCAACATGGCTGGTGCTGCTATGTACGAGCTGGTACGAGTAGGCCACAGTGAACTGGTGGGGGAGATTATCCGACTGGAAGGGGATTTGGCAACTGTGCAGGTGTATGAAGAAACATGTATCCTTTTCACTGATCCCTCGGCGCCTGCCAGACTGTGCAGTCCAGAAATACAGTGGTGATTAGGGTGAAGATGATGAACAAAGCTGACTGGGACCGGCGTTTGGTTCTCTTGATGCCAGCAGGCAGCAACATCTGTTCTGCACATCTTTTGTAAATGCTGATGGTTTTGAGATAAATCTTATCTTGCTTGGCTGTGTACTGAGGAGACCTTTTTTCATTTATTTTTATTTAAGTGAAAATCAAATAATGTGTACCTTAGAATTTAAGTTCATTTGAATTTATATATTACAGTTCTTTCTTAAGGAAATTGTTTGACAAATGTCAACCATAAATGACAAAACTACCTAGCAGTAATTGTTACATTTTTGCTTTGCTTTTGAAAACTATGCTTGTATAACACTTAAGTAGGAAATGTACAGCGGGCAGGATGCCTTCCTCTGAGTAGAGTATTTTGCCAGATGTAATAGAGTGCATTTTTGCTTCCGCAGTGTGCTTACAGAACTAGGACGTGGCATGTATTCTAAAATCTAGTTAACTTAAAATTTATTTTCTATTACACGTATATGACAGAATGTCAGAAAAGAAGTCATAAAACTTGAAGCCAGACCTTTTTTTCTTCTCTTATTCTTTTAAATTTAAGAGTTGGCTCTGTGTATCTTTAGGGGCTAGGAGAAAGCCTGTGCTGGCTCCCAAAGCTTTTTTTTTTGAGGAGCTGGATGGTAAACTGGTGACTAGCTCCTGTCTGTACCTAATAATTTGTCATTTAAGATGGCATCATTTTAGATGGCATCATCATTATAATATCTAGTAGCCTTCCATCAATAATATATGGAACAGCTTTGAATGTAGTTTACTCTTGGGTTCCTGATGAGAGGGCTTTGTTATAGGGCTCTCTGAAGTCAACTTGCATTTATTCTCTTGAGTCTTGCATAGAGTTTTGGGCATTTCTTTTGTATTCTAGCAGGGCCTTTTTGCCAAACTGCTGGCCATTTGCAGAGAAGTCCATTGTTCATCTTTGGAGCTTAGTGTGTAGACTGGACAACTTGATATCAGAGAGGGAAATAATGCCGGTCTCCGATAAAATCCCTTTACAATTAGACTGCTGTGAAAAAGACCGTGCAAGGTTCAAGGTCAAAACATTTATGCTTTCTAACAAATTCTAAAGTGAAAAATTTTGTCTTTTGTGACATTGTCTGACTTTAACAATCAAACCTGTTTTCTAGGTTTGAAAATTTAAAAAATGCCTGACATTTTACCATCCTGCTGTCTAGCACTCCAGTAAACTCATCCATATAGTTGACTTGAACTAATGATCGTAAAGCAAAACTTTTACCCGTAGTTTGCTTCTCTGGAGAATGAGGAACTTTGTTGCTTTAGCAGTTTCAGCTTGAGTTTAGTGTTAGAAATCTACATGCTTCTCAAATGATGATGCATGATATAGTAATGAAAATCTTACCTTAAAGTCAGGTAAGAGCATGATGTTGTGAATGTGATGCTTTCTGGCCCATTTCTTTCCCTTTCTCTCGATGAACTTTTCCTCAGCAAATCTTTAGCTGGTGTCTCTGTAGGAGATCCTGTACTCCGTACTGGCAAACCCTTGTCAGTGGAACTAGGGCCTGGCATTATGGGAGCTATTTTTGATGGTATCCAGAGGCCTCTCTCAGACATCAGCACTCTGACCAAAAGTATCTATATCCCTAGAGGTGTCAACGTGTCAGCTTTGAGCCGAGATGTCAAATGGGACTTCACGCCTTCCAAAAATCTGCGGGTAGGTTCTGACAAGCCTGTCGTCCCCTCTTGCTCCTCTACACCCAGAGCTTGGAGCTGGAGCAGAGTGCCAATGACTGCTAGGAGCTATGGTTGATGCTGTATTAAGTTTGTGAAAAGGGGTGCTACAAGGTGGTAGCAATGTATGAGAGTGAGACTTGGACAGGGATCACCAAAACTTATTCAGTGTGACTTACTGTGTGTTGCTGTTGAGTATGAGAAACTTGCAAAGCTTTAATGTATTTGCAAAACCGTAAAGAAGCTAATGGAATTGCAACAAGCATTAGCAGGAGCAGGTGTTACCTGAGCAAAAGGAATGGTTGCAGCACACATTTCCCAAATGGTAAAGATAGCCTTAGGAGCTGGAAAATGTCACGGCTTTAGCCCTTGGTGGCATCTTCTTTTCCAACCCTACAGGTTAGCGTATGCTATCCTTTTTCTAATTAACGCATTAAGCTGAGAGGTATAAAAGAAATGAGGAAAATTCCTTGCATCAGTCAGTAATTGCTACTGTCTGAGCCTTGAAAGGCGCCTGAACCCAGATAGTATTCCTAGCAATGTGCTGTTAGTGTAATGAGTTATGTAAATGGGCCACTGTGCTGTAACAATGCATTTATAAAGGGAGTAATCACAGTGCTAGACTTAATAGCTATAGTTATTTTATACAGTTCTTTGTCAAGGTTCTTTTTTAGAACTGGTGTTCTCACTTATAACTAATAGACCTGTTCTGATTTTAGGTTGGCAGCCACATCACTGGTGGAGATATTTATGGTGTGGTGAATGAAAACTCCCTTATCAAACACAAAATCATGCTGCCCCCACGGAACAGGGGTACAGTTACATACATTGCTCCGCCAGGAAACTATGACACTTCAGTAAGTCTTCTCAAACAGCATTTATGGTGTATTCCATGTCTCTTTCGTAAGGCTGATGTACTTTTTCCTGTTCTGCATGATGCCAACTAGAAAGTGCAACAAGATCTCTGAGTTATCATGATCATTTCTGCTACCCTGTCTGCAGGCATTACATGATTACCTCGTGCAATTACTTTTTACATATAGGGCTTCCCAATGGCACTTGAGTATGCCATGTTTGCTGATCTCTGTGGAGACCTACAGTATCTTATGAATTTGTAAAATCCAGTTACCCTTCAAAAGCATATTTTTAGTTGAAGCTTCATCTTGCACTGTTTTTCCCCGGTAGCATTGCAAATATGGGGAAAAAGCCTTCCCTTGAGAGGGGGTGATAGTGTGTTGAGATGCTGAGAAATCTGTGGTGGTGTCAAAGAAGTAGCTGTGCAAAGTAGTTGAGAATTTGCATGCTGGTCCGGTGTGCAGCTCTTTGCTTACTTCAGATGTCTGGTGCTGTCTGTTAGGACGTTGTCTTAGAGCTGGAGTTTGAAGGTGTGAAGGAGAAGTTCACTATGGTCCAAGTCTGGCCAGTACGTCAAGTCCGTCCTGTTACTGAGAAGTTACCAGCCAATCATCCTTTATTAACTGGTCAGCGAGTCCTGGATGCCCTCTTCCCGTAAGTACTATATTTTATTTTCTAGCATGTACGAAATCTCTCTTTCTGAGGGGGAAGCAGAGGGAGGAGGCATTAAGTATTATTTTTTTTTTAAGGGCAAACAGACCCCAAGCTTTCACTATGTATCACAGCATAATCTCAAAAAAATATTTAGCTGAATTCCTCATATTTCTATATTTGACAGGCAGAGCTACTAGTGGAAAAAGGAATCTAATGAAATCTAACAAGATAGTTCTAATGCATTAATCTAGAAGGTAATGGACAAGCATAAACTTAACATAATCATGCCAAATCTACAGAAAGTCTAGAACCTTCAAGCTTGATACCTCCATTTGGACACATAAGTAGGATCACTTTCCATGGTCTTGAGGATGCATAGTTCCCAATGACTTTGAGGTCACCACTTATAAAAACGGTTGCACTTAACTGTAACGCTCATTTAAGCAGCTAACTTTCAGGACATTAAATTTAGTAACTTTGGTCCTAAAATACCGTGCTGCTTATTCTTACAATGCACAACTAAGTGCAGTTGTTCTTTTCTTAGCATTTGCATTCCATCGGTGCTTCCAGCTGTGAAAACTGCTATATTTCAAGCCTGAAAGCCTAGCTGTTGTACCAGCTTAACTCATGTGCCTCAAGGGCAGTAGAAGAAAAGGATAGATTATTCCCTCAGTCTCTTGGTTTAGTAAAATACCTCTTTGCTTCTTGCCCAGAACAAGGAATGTGACTCCTGTCACTCTGCTTTTAATTTGTGAGTTTTATTGGAAAACATGTTTTATGATGGGAGAGAGCTGGTTTTTGAGTGCCTTGCAAATCAGAGTCCTTTTTCTTTACTCAGGTGTGTACAAGGGGGTACAACAGCGATTCCCGGGGCGTTTGGTTGTGGGAAGACTGTGATCTCACAGTCTCTCTCAAAATACTCCAACAGTGATGTCATCATTTATGTAGGCTGTGGAGAAAGAGGAAATGAAATGTCTGAAGTACTGAGAGATTTCCCTGAGGTTAGTATGGGGAATTCACAGAGAGTAAACCTTCTTGGGAGGACTTGCTATTATACTGGTATTGTGACTGAATGAAATATCGTATTGGTAGAGTGGCTTGAAATTATGTGCTTGCCTTCCAGCTGTAATTTCTGGCTGTAGTAGCAGAAATTCCTTGTGGCTTGTTCAAGAATGACTTCAGTGGTCCCTTAATGAACATCAGGGCTAGTTTTAGGGTGTACCTTCTAACTTGTTTAAAATAAAGCCAAAATGAGTGCCAGAGTGTAATTTAGCACCATTATAAGCACCTTACCTTTCACTACACCTGGGTTATGTATGTGGTTTTATGTCCAGTTGTCAAAGACAAACTCAGATCAGTGTAGGTGAGTGGGAACAAAAAACTCTCCGATTCCTAGCAGACCTGTGACAGGAGGCTAAGGTTTTTGGCTTTTCCAGTCGAGTAAGGTGAGAGAGGATAATGTACTTCCTAATGCATTTGTTATTGCTCATTTGAATGGGATCAATAGGGATGTGCCAGTTGCAGAAGCTGAGATGAGGCTGAGGCATGTACATTAAAGAGTTACTCTGTGTGCAATCTGGAAGGCAAACCAGCATAGTATCCTGAAATCTTGAATATAGTCTCTGCTCTTGGTAGAGTAGCTGTGAGAGTATTCTGATAATACAAGTAATACAATAAAAAAAAAAGAAAAAATAAACAAAAAAAACCCTTGCTACTGTTACCTTTTTTGTTATTTTTCTTGCATTTTAGTTAACAATGGAAGTTGATGGCAAGGTAGAAAGCATCATGAAGAGAACAGCTCTGGTAGCAAATACCTCCAACATGCCTGTGGCTGCCAGAGAAGCCTCTATCTATACTGGTAAGATTTACAGGAGGCTGGAAAAAGCTGTTTGTGCAGAGCAAGCCACAATGCTCTAATATTTTCTGTTCCTGAGATGGTCAGTACCAAGAAACCTGCTTAGTTTCAGAAGTCAACCCTCTTGCACCTTGTCTGCACGAAGTCACAGAATCACAGAATCTTCTAGGTTGGAAGGGACCTTAAAGATCATCTTGTCCAACCGTCAACCTAACTGACAAAAATAGACACCCGCACAACAAACAAAAAGCAACACCATCACTAAACCATACCTCCCAGCACTACATCAACCCGTCTTTTGAACACCTCCAGGGATGGTGCCTCAACCTCCTCCCTGGGCAGCCCATTCCAATGTCTGATAACCATTTCAGTGAAAAAAATTTTCCTAAAAGTCCTGGTATCTTAACTGAATTTGGCTTGCTTGTATATAATAATGATTTCCAAATATTGAATAAATTTTGCTTAGAAGGTGAATTTACTGCACCACCTCTCATGTAGTTTTTCTCCACGTGTTAATTATGTAAGCTTTTGTTTGTGAATAGTTTTTTGCTGACAAGTACAGCCACTTAATGGGCAGGAATAGTACTCTCTGAGTTGGCAGGCTTGTCTTTTTTACTTTGCAGCCTCTTAGAGTTGTTGAGGGTTTTTTTAATTCTTTTTTATGCAAAGTTGTCAGATAACTAAGATAAAACATGACCTTTCTCACTGTTGTATTCTGGTAATTTGAAAGGGAAGGAGACATTTTACAGAAGAAGAGGCTTTGTTCGTGGTTTTAGTGAGGCAGAGAGTAGCATCAGTGACATTGCTGTGTCTCTTCAAAGAAATACATGAGAATGTAAGATGAGCCTGAGTGGATTATAAGCAAAAATGGGGAGAGTGAGAAGAAATAAACAAAGACAGCAAGGGCATGGTCTAGTGGGAAGAAAGAATCAATTTCGGTGTCTATTTCCATCAAAATGTAAGCTTAAAGAATTGGGCTTATTTGCATCTTAGTGACAGCATATGAGCATAGAATTACTTTCTGAACTGTACCCTGCAGCACGCTGTTGTCTTTTTATTCTAGGAATCACCCTCTCTGAGTATTTCCGGGACATGGGCTACCATGTCAGTATGATGGCAGACTCTACTTCCCGATGGGCTGAGGCCCTCAGAGAAATTTCAGGGCGACTGGCTGAAATGCCAGCTGGTGAGTAGTCTTGTCTCAGTCTAGTCTCGTAAACGCATCCTTTAAACTCTGAGCCTTTGACTCAATTTCTGTGTGTTGGTATTTGCAGACAGTGGTTATCCAGCCTACCTTGGTGCCCGTCTAGCCTCTTTCTATGAGCGAGCTGGCAGAGTGAAGTGTCTGGGAAATCCTGAAAGGGAAGGCAGCGTCAGCATTGTTGGAGCGTGAGTGTTGCATTTCTTTGCTTTGCGTTGGCTGCAGTTCTTCCTCTGTGTTTTTGTATGTCAAAGGAGCTATTTTTCAGACAAAAAGAAAGTCTTGTCACTCTACACTGCAGAACTGAAAACATGTGAATGAGTAGGTAGATATTTAGTCTCTGTTCACCCAGAACTACTGCTAAATTGTGCGTGGGGGCAGAAAGAATGAATGTGGACAGGTAGTTCTGTGAGGTGTGGAATCGCAGTCGCTTGCAGCAATGGGAGCAAATGGCTCAGGGAAGAATGTCATTAGAGCTGTCACTGAAAACTATGTCAAACCATACTCAGAGCAGGAAAGAAGGGGCAGTTAGAGCAGCAGTACGTGCGCTCGGAGGCATAATGAATTGTGATTCTCCTGCTTAAACAGAGAAGAATTACATGAAGCAGCATATCTAAAGCTGTGATGGGCTGTGAAAAGCATGTGGTCCTCAGGCATTCTTCTAGGCTGTATTGATTTGTATGCCATACTGTGGGCAAAGTGAATTTCCCCCCAATACATTTTCAGAAGAGCCTCTATTATCTGCAAGAACACCTAGAGTCCAGTCTTTGCTCTGCTTAGTTCTGTTCTCTACAACGTGTACACAAATGCATTGTGGTTTTGAGGTCTGAAGATTATTTTTTTATCTCTGGGAAGGCATGTATGAGGGTGTCAAGCCTAAATGAATTTGAAGTGGTTATTGTATAGGTGAATATCTGAAATATCAGCACACTTGCTGAATCTGTTCCAACTGAGATAAGTTTGATAATGCAAGCCAGGGTTACTATCTGGAGCTAAAATGACTGAAATCATACTTTGGTACTCTCAATCCAGTCACTATATTATATAGAAATATATAACTATATTTCATGGAATGCTTGATATTACACCTGTGTGGGTATGCGTCAAACACTTTCTGCAGTGGAAGTTTGCAATCTGTTACTTACATGAAATTGTGTTTTGTTTGTTGACTTTTCTGGTTTCTGTGATCATGGAGCTGTGCAGTCATATGTTCGGTACCTCCGTTTTAATTGTGAAAGTACCAGTCACTATATTATATAGAAATATATAACTATATTTCATGGAATGCTTGATATTACACCTGTGTGGGTATGCGTCAAACACTTTCTGCAGTGGAAGTTTGCAATCTGTTACTTACATGAAATTGTGTTTTGTTTGTTGACTTTTCTGGTTTCTGTGATCATGGAGTTGTGCAGTCATATGTTCGGTACCTCAGTTTTAATTGTGAATGCAATTCTGATAACTTTTCCTTATCTCTTCCTGCTCAGTGTCTCTCCCCCAGGTGGTGACTTCTCTGATCCTGTCACATCTGCTACTCTGGGCATTGTTCAGGTATGTCCCACACCGTTGCAGCCCTTCTATCTACTTTGTTGAACTCAAAATGATTGTGCTTCACTGCGTTTGTGCCAGCGGCTGGTGTGTGAGAGCTTTGATTTGACACAGGCAGCTTTGTAGGGTGCTTTGGAAAATGTTCCAACAGTGTAAAAGGTGACCTTACGAGATGGTCTCTGAAGCAATGTATTTGAGATGCCTTTGGAAGAGGGAGTGAAGGTAGTAATTCTTTCCAATGCTGATTGTTCAGGAATATCCATGTACTTCCTCATTGCTGCCCATTGAGCTTCATTTCAAATGTGGCTGTTCTCAGCTCAGATAGAAAGTGAACCACTCTTAATACATCCACTGAAACCATGAAAAAATCCTCAGACCAGCTGACTGGGCGAATGTCTTGCAACTGGTTGCAGCCCTGTTTTGGTAAAAGGAGTTCCATCTAGTGGGGTTCCGCTTAATTAGACTCCAGTATTGTCTTTGTTATGGCTAACTTCTCCCTCATGAGGAGTCTCAAGCTGAATAAGGCTAAACTCAGCTTAAGAGATGCATCGTTTTTTGAGAAATGTATTTGAAAGTCACTACTACAGTTAAATTAACATAGGGAAATTTTCCTTTTTCTCTCTGAAGCTTTCGCGTTTTTTGAGAAATGTATTTGAAAGTCACTGCTACAGTTAAATTAACATAAGTCTTCCTTTTTCTCTCTGAAGCTTTCATTTGTGATAGCCTTTGCCATGTTGCATTTGCTCAAACTTGCATTCTGTATTGGCTTTCTTGTTTTTTTTTAATTGCCTTCAATTATTTTGGTTGATTTTTTTATTTGGAACACTGTTTTTTCTTTCTGGCTTCTGACAGGTTTTCTGGGGTCTGGATAAGAAGCTGGCACAACGCAAGCACTTCCCCTCTGTCAACTGGCTGATCAGTTACAGCAAATACACACGTGCCCTGGACGAGTACTACGACAAGCATTTTACAGAGTTTGTCCCTCTCAGGACAAAAGCCAAAGAGATCCTACAGGAGGAAGAGGACCTTGCAGAGATCGTGCAGCTTGTGGGGAAGGTGAGTAACCAGCTGTGAGGGAGTGTGGTGTCAATGAGCCATCCTCCATTTCCTTACTGCTAGCACAGGCTTTTGGCCATGTCTTAGCCCAGACTTGATGGATACTGCATTGTGCAAAAAAAGGCAAATGCTCACTGGGAGATGTCAGACTTTCCTGCCTGGTCTTAGCCCAGACTTGATGGATACTGCATTATGCAAAAAAGGCAAATGGTTACTGGGAGATGTCAGACTTTCCTGCCTCTAATTGTGCTTTACTCCAAATTTCTTACACGTTTGACTTTTCTAATGACAAATACTTTTTTAGATTTGGTAAACCTTGGCTTGACACTGCTTTTCTCATGTAAATTGGATTGCAGGGCATCTAATGCTGAAGTTAAGAAACTTCACTTTCTTCCACATTCTAGTCCTGATGAAACGCCCTTTGTTGCAATCTACAATAGTATTCTATTGGAAGTATCTTTCGAAGAGAAACGATGCAAACTTACCTTTACAGTTGAAGGCATCTGAAGGGTTACAATTTATTAGAAACCATGTTGCCAGCTACAGAACAGAGGTGTTGGCATTTACAGCCTGGCCTGTAGAAACAGAAGTGATATCTGCTTTTTCTAAAACTGGTGATTACCTGGTTTCTCTATGGAAGCCTGTGACATGACATATGGCTCCATTTTACAAGCGTTCTTTAATTTCCTTCATTCGCTTCACTGTTATGGAGACAAAGCTGAACTTGGACAGGAAGATTTCCCTTGAGAGCTCTCAAAAGTGAAAACTCTTGTGTTTCAGCTTAGCACTGTAAAGATGATAATTGACAGGTGCCTAGCACTTACTTTATAGTAACTTAATCCCATCATGGCCAGATGAGGTATGCTGATTTACGAGGTGGTGGTAGTGTCTGGTAACATGTATTAACTACAGTTATTTTGAGAAAGTTTGGTCCTGGTGCTCTCCCTATTCACTGATGTTCTAGCCCAACTGAGATGAGGCCTTTCACTAGATCTTGCCTAGCAGAGCTCTCCTCTCTAGATGTGTCTTTAAATAAAAAGAAAGGTGATCCTGGGGTCCTCTGCAGTTTTCTATGTACAAAAACATGTTCTAAAAGACTAGTTTACAGAGCCAGGGTAGAATCAATTCCTTGGTGTGGAATGGATTTTGATAAGCCAGTGCTTGTAACAAGGCATTATTCCCACAATAGTAGTACTGGAACCTGGTGATCTTGTTCTCAAAGATGTTACTTTAACAGTTTCTTTCAGTCTGGGCTTGGCTAACAACTGCAACAAACCTTTAGAAAGGGGAAATTGTGGAAACACAATCAGAGATTTTATTTATTTTTTTTTTAGTTCTGAATTCTGTTGGTCTCCTCACGAAAGAAGGTCCAAACTTCCTGTGTAGAAAGCAAACTAGGGTACCTAAAACTCAGTCTGTCCCCTTTAGCAAAAGGACAATGAAGGCAGAGGAAGGTGGCTTGTGATGCTGACAGCAGCAGTGTGCAGCAGGGTTGTGCCTGTCCTGCAGAGTGTGACAGACGTTGTCATCAACTCCTTTACTTTTCTTGAATGCCAAAGAAGAAAAACCCATTGGTAGCTGGGGAAACTAGTATCAAATTCTTAAAATTACTTATTGATCTACCATGCCAAGATCTAGTTTTTCTTCCATGGATATAAGGATCAAAGGAGGTAAAAATGAATTTACCTCCTTATGCAGGAAGATGATATTTCAGTGTTCCTCATTAGCAGAGCTATATGTGTTTTCTGTGTCTGGTGGCTTTTCCAGTATCTTAAAGTAAGCTTCCTTGCAATTGTTTATTGTCAGATAGACTTAAAGTAGACTTACTGACTGTTTGGCCCATCTTAATTTGGCTGTCAATTAAATTGGCTGTTCTACAGCAGGGAGTGATAAATATCCAAAAGACAGAATTCTGCTGGAATTCTTAACTCTGCTAAATTCTGCTAGAGTCTTAAGAGGGTGGGAAGAAAACAGGTACTGAAAGATAACAGTTCTTGACCAGGACATACCGTGTCCTCATGGACTTGAGTACTAAACTAACGCGTACCTTACTTTTCTAGGCTTCCTTGGCAGAAACAGATAAAATTACCTTGGAGGTTGCCAAGCTGATAAAGGACGACTTCTTGCAACAGAATGGTTATACGCCTTATGACAGGTGAGCTCTGACTGGCCACTCTGCCCTCTTAGTCCTCTGTAATCTGGATTTAGACAGCTATTCTACTCAGAAGCCAAACAGTGCAGAAATTAGTTTTACTCACCATAAACAAATGGAAGAACTCTGCTTAGGGAGGCCATCAAACAGTGTATTCACGTTGCCTTACTCAAGGCATGCAGACCTTTTCCAAATGCAATTGCACCCTTTGAGTTTCTCAGGCCCTCATCTATTATTCAGTTAGCCAATATTTCTGCAAAAGCATGTCCTCCTGTCCTCCTTAGGAGGAGAGGACCACTTTTTTTTCCACAGTCAACACCCAAAGTCTTCCTGTTTATTCTAGCAAGGCATGGGGGGCTGCAAGAATCTGCTTTCAGCTACTGTTGCGTCATTCTTGAGTCAGTTTGATCCATCAAAAAATTTACTGGATCTTTTCCCTAGATAGTGCTTGTTATCCCTGTCTGCTTTGCTTCTTTCCATGCTATCCTTGTGTTTCAGTAGCCTGACAAAGGGGATTTTTGTAGGTCATCTCACTCCCCAGCCTGGGAGTGAGATGGGGAGCCTGATCCCCAGATCAGGAGGTCTTGGAATACTTCATCACTGAAAATGTAGACGTACATCATTCTGTAATAGTGTGTGCCTTTGATTAGGTACTAGGGCAGGTTTGCTTGTATGCAGAAGGGAAGCACAGAAGTAGCATGATGTAGTGTATAAATAATAATGAGGTACCTTCCATGACAGTCATCTACCCATTAAAAATGGAGCTTTTTGTGTGTGGAGTGTTCTTGTCATAGAAACACTCCCTTTCCTGTGAGCAAAGAAACTTGCAGAGCTGTCAGGTCATCCCAGGTTACTTGGAGAAGCCTGCTCCCATGATGGACAAAACAGGAAGGAGGAATTCCGTTGGCTGCTCTGGTGTTTTCCCTTTCTCATTAGTATTGGCACAGATGGAAATATGAGAACTGTACAGCGGTGGTTCCTGTTCTCCCCTGTTTTACCCGGTGTTTGGGTGCTGTTTCAGAAACCTTACTTCAGGATGATTCTCTCAGCCTGTGATTTACCTATTTAAAAATGTGGGACTTACTAGAGGTGGTCTCTCTCCTTTGACAGCAGGTACCAAAAGCCCCTGGAGTAAAGCAGGCTAGCGCTCTTTCTTTCGTGTGAGAATTCAGAGTTGTTGTGAGCTAGCGCTCTTTCTTTCGTGTGAGAATTCATACAGGCAGGAGCAAAGGCTTGTCCTGTGAACTGTTCCAAAATGCCTGACAGATCCTTTTCTGTTCCATCAGGTTCTGCCCTTTCTACAAAACTGTGGGAATGCTTTCCAATATGATTGCGTTTTATGACATGGCACGCCGTGCTGTAGAAACCACAGCCCAGAGTGACAATAAGATCACGTGGTCCATCATCCGAGAGAACATGAGCGAAATCCTCTACAGACTTACCTCCATGAAATTCAAGGTATGTTGGGAAGGAACGGGGTTGCACTGCTTTCTGTGAACTTCCAGTGACTCTGAGAGGTGTTACTCAAAGGTGGTCGTCAGTTCCCTTAGGTAAAGGTGTATGAACAGAGACTTTTGGCAACTGGGTTTAGTTTGTGAGCACGGGAATGGTCAGTGCAGAAATCTAGTTGGGTGGTGCTGGCTGCAGAGCCCTGGCAACTCCACTCTCAGCAGGCTCTTTTGTTACGTACATTGGTGGCAGTTGTACAAGCACCTTTCCTCTTTGTTTTGGGGGTTTTGTGATAACATTCTGTAAAAAATTATAGCATGTTCTAAAGAGACTTAGCAGATAAAAGCAGCCTGAAGTTTAAATCCAGGAATGTGCTAAAAAGCGAATGATAGAAATGTTGATCAGGCTGTATTAAATAGAAGTTAAGGAAAGAAATGTTCGTCTCCTGCAGTCATACGTGATGTCCCCTGTGTTTGGCTTCAGGGCCTAAGGCAGGTAACTAGGAGGAGAGGAAGGGAGGAGTTACTTTAGCAAGGGCTAAAGACAAGACAAGTGGCCTGGAGCACCTGCTCCTGGGTAACTTCAGCAGCCTTCTTTTTAGGGTACAGCTTTCTTAGAACTCCCCCAGAGCATGCTGATGACCGTGCTCCTGATGGAGAGGGTCCAGGGGAGGGCCACAAGGATGGTCAGGGGGTTGGAGCACCTCTGCTACGAGGACAGGCTGAGGGAGCTGGGGTTGTTCAGCCTGAAGAAGAGGAGGCTCTGGGGAGACCTAATAGCAGCCTTCCAGTACCTGAAGGGAGCCTACAGGAAGGCTGGGGAGAACCTGTTTAGAAAGGCCTGCAGTGACAGGACGAGGGGCAATGGCTTCAAGCTGGAGGGGAGCAGATTTAGACTGGAGATTAGGAGAGGGTTCTTCACTGTGAGGGTGGTGGAGCACTGGAACAAGCTGCCCAGGGAGG